TTTACTGTGGCAATGTGCTTTCTGGTATCATGCGGATGTGGCCTACGGATGCTAGCCGACAGGCAGGATGAGTTCCTAGACTGTTTGCTTTTAAAAACTAGCTTGTTTAGCAGATTTACCATTGCAGCTTTAAAAGTTTGGGTAGCTTCAGGTGAATGTCTGGCACCTAATTAGTGTGTGACTGACATGTCTGGAATGACCAATACCACCATGACCTTCAATGCTGGGGTTGTTGGGGGAGGTCCCCCCTCACTGCAAGCTTAGACCCCCTTTGGCCCCTCTGCTAAAGTAATAGCCTACTAAGTATTGACTTTTACAGATAATTTTGCCAAATGTCTCCTTTTTCATGCAACACACACACACACACACACACACACACACACACACACACACACACACACACACACACACAACTGTATGAAAATGCAACTAATTCACAAAGCAACTCAGAGCAACATTAGATCCCAGCATGGTAGAATTACCTGGATCTTTGGGATACTTTTGAGAGTTCTACCAACATGTTTAAATGTTGATCATTCCACAGATGCACAATCATTACAAGTTGCACCTTGTAGTAAAAGTACCAAATCCAGCTGAACAAAGACATAAAGTGTATTGCTGAGAGGCGTTGTAACAAAAAAACACAAATATTTGTGTGCTATAGGTTTAAATCTACCTTTAGCTACTAGGATAAACATTTGCACTTCTTTTATATGACCTTACTATGATGTGAACCCATGTGTTACAATGTTTAGCTCTGTTGAACCTTGTCCGTCCATCCGTCCATCCGTACATCCGTCCGTCCATCCGTCCGTCCATCCGTCCATCCATCCATCCGTCCGTCCATCCGTCCGTCCATCCGTCCATCCATCCATCCATCCATTTTTATCCGTTTATCCGGAGTCGGGTATCGGGGGCAGTAGCCTAAGGTAAGGGGCCCAGACTTCCCTCTCCCCAGCCACTTGGACCAGCTCCTCCGGGGGAATCCCAAGGTGTTCCCTGGCCAGGTGAGAGACATAGTCCCTCCAGTGTGGCCTGGGTCTACCTTTAGGTCTCCTCCCGGTTGGCCGGTTGCCTGGCAAACCTCACCAGGGAGGCGTCCTGACCAGATTCCCGAGCCACCTCAACTGGCTCCTCTTGATGTGGAGGAGCAGCGGATCTACTCCGAGCCCCTCCCGAATGACCGAGCTTCTCACCCTATCTCTAAGGGAGAGCCCAGCCACTCTTCGGAGAAAACTCATTTCGGTCGCTTGTATCCGTGATCTCGTTCTTTCGGTCTCTACCCACAGCTCATGACCATAGGTGAGGGTAGGAACGTAGATCGACCGGTAAATCGAGAGCTTCGCCTTCTGACTCAGCTCTCTCTTCACCACGACAGACCGGTACAACGCCCGCATCACTGCAGACGCAGCACCAATCCACCTACCGATCTCACGCTCCAGTTTTCCCTCACTCGTGAACAAGACCCCGAGATACTTAAACTCCTCCACTTGGAGCAGGACCTCATCCCTGACCCGGAGAAGGCATTCTACCCTTGTTGAACCTTGTTTCAGTGTTAAATGCTGTACAAGCATCACTTGAGGGTAAAGCACGACCTGTACCTTTACCCTAACCCCTAACTCTGATCAGAATCTTTCTGTCGCCTTTTGCCGGATCTGCTGAAGAGCAAAAGAGGAAGCCTCCTCCAGGAAAGCCTCCTTCTCTCTTTCCCTCAGTCACACCTCACTAGCACCTGCTAATACTTTTCATTGCTCCACTTGTCAAGCAGCCACGACTTCTGATGAGACAGATAGTGCTTTTAGTGGCTATAAAAGGTGGAAGGAGAGAGCACTGAGTGCTACAGCGCTCAGGCTCTCAACCAGGGGAAAACGATAATATTTCAGAGAGGAATCAGCTTTAGACCATCAACCAAAATCACACCAGCTTAATTCAAACTCTCTGTACTCCGGCAGTTCTTTTGCTTGAATATGAAACAGGAATATATATGAAAAGCTTGAGCTTGCACTTGGGATAAAGAAACAAGAGGACGAGTGAACGTCTTACAGAAAAAAACAGAAAACTAGTTAAATTGAAGCTAAACAAAAATTTAATCAAATCTGGGAAACATGACTGGATGACTGTGATGTGGATACCAAGTAAGAGCTTTAAGACCCTCCGGCAGATTACAGGCTGGCCACCAGCAGATGTCAGCAGAGCTGCTGTGATCAGAAAAAAAAACTGCTTAATAGGTTTAAAAAAACATGATGAAGTCAGATTCATTCAGCCTTTAATCTAAAGTGGTTGGAGAAAGACAGACAGCTAATATGACAGAGAAAAAGTTTTTATCTAATGCCAGTTTAATTACCGTGCAAATAATTATTTGTGTCTGGAGATCCCACTAAATGACGGAGCTTCACTCATCATTAACCTTCTGACAGATTGTAAAGCAAACGGCACAAACGAGCTGATGCTAAAATGACTAATTAAGAGGTAATGAGGACATGGTGAGGCTTGTGCATGCCTTTGGGGTAGGCTGCAGGACACACGCGACTCAGAACAACATTCAACACTCAACATTCACCACACCTTTTTGTCTAAACAGTCTTGTCTCATCTCCTTCGTAATCCCCCATGCCAGATTTCCACGGCCCTCCTGATCTAGACCGAGTGTCACTC